TGTTGTTTTAGGCTTTTATTATTTCATTCTGGCAAAGACAGTCTCGCTAGGCTGAGTGCTGTGAAAAATCAGTGGTGTTTGATTATTCATCAAGTGCCAGACTTGTTCATTACCAAGTCAGCTCTCTTGCAGTGCAGTTGCATTCTGCCTCTGGAGGTCCCAATTTTTAAGTGACCTACAACTAACTGAAAGCTCTGAGGCACATCTGGTAGAAGTGGTGTGTTTTTCCTTACTTGAAAAGATCATTATGTCTAGTCCAGTGCTGCAGGATAAGCGTTCAGGTAACAATCCAAAATCTGGTTACTACCAGGATGGCTTCACCATGTTTGTGAATTATTCTTTTCATGCATTTTATGATAAAAGTTCTTATAAATTCTTTAGAAAAAGAGAATTCAGTCAAAATCTTTAATTTACTTCTTTTAGATAACGTAATTTGTGAATTTATCTTCTTGTCTTTCATCATGTGACTTTTTTTTTTTTAAATGGTGTGCTCTTGGGTGTCCTTAATATACTAAATATCAGTAATACTTGTCAGTGTTTGACAGTCAGGGAAGTCTTTGCAGTTAATTCAGAGTCAATACCAGCTCTGAGATCACCAAAGTGAGCTTGGTCTCATCCTAATTGAGAGATTTGTTCTTGATCAGCCTCTTAGTTACACAAACCTTTTCTTTTTTCTCTCTGCAGACCAGAAGCTATTTATGCAGCTGTAAACAAAAGGCCTAATACACAGTGTTACACAGCAGGAGAGGGTAAGACAGCATGAAACATGCCAACTAATGCTACAGTCTGTTCCTGCTTAATGGCATGTGGATATACTTTAATTTGAGAGGAATTGCTGTGCAGCCATTTTGGTGCTTGTCCAAAAGACACAGTGCAAATATTGAGCTGCTGATACAAGACTCACAAAATAGGAACTGATATGAGACTTCTAAAACTGTGACTAATTCAGGTTGAGCACAGGCCTGGGTTTTGGTTTTGTTTTTAAGACTTTTGCTCGAGCACTAATATATTTCTGAAAACTCAAATATGTCTCATAGCCATAAGCTAAGTTCTCTTCCCGCTGTTCTCTGCTGTGTTATTGTTGTACTATAGAGACATCAGAATGGATTTTTACTCTTCCGAGTGTGAATCATTCTCTTATAATCAGTAAGAAGTGGAGAAAATGAATATTACTGCAGAAAAATTGTTTGGGAAGCACTTTCTTAACCTTATAATCTAGTGTATGTCCATGCTTCCTGTATATATTTTAGCTGCACCTGTGTTTTTTCATTACAAAGTTGTGCTGCCTGTAAGAGTTGTAAGCATGAGGCGAGATGGGATTGCAGTCAACCAGGTAGATAAGTCAGATCACAGGCTTGTGAAGATATGATCCATGTTATGAACACACTGGTGAATGCTGATATCCCTGGATTTGCACCTGATGTACTTTTATCCCCCATCTGAAACTGTTGTCCCCTCCTTTGTGTGCTGTTTGCACAGAGTACGTTGCCCTTTATTCGTATTCAAGCTCTGAGCCTGGTGACTTGACTTTCACGGAAGGTGAGGAAATCCTAGTGACCCAGAAGGAAGGGGAATGGTGGACCGGGAGCATTGATAGCAGAACTGGAATCTTCCCCTCCAATTATGTCAGACCAAAGGATCCAGAAGTGAGTTCGTGTTCTGAGAATTAACACACGGTATTTTCTCTCTGTTTTATTCTGTTGACACCTGGCTCTTAGGTAGTGATTTTAAGCAGAGGCTAATATGCTTGACAGAAAAGAAAATCCTTGATATCTTGAGTGCTAAATGAGTGCTGTAGCCAGTGTCACACAGCCTTTGTCCATACAGCATGGTGTTTTCTTAAATGCGGGCTCAAAATTAAAATTTCCACATGCTTTTAGAATAAACTCTGCTTTTTTACTGCACATTAAAAGGTGGGTTTTGTGTCTTTGTAGGCTTCTAGTTATGCTGGCAAAACTGGAACAATAAATAAGAAACCCGGTAAGTGATAACATTTTAACATTTAAGACTGTTTCTTAAGTGACTCTGAGCATTTTGGTTCATATCAGTGTGGCTCATGTTCTTAGCTGCACGTTATGTACCGGGATATTACTGTGGATGTAGCTCTTGCTGCAGTGAAAAAATAACAAATGCAATTAGTATGTTTTCTTTTCAGAAATTGCTCAGGTTACTACTGCCTACGTTGCATCAGGGACTGAACAGCTCAGTCTTGCTCCAGGACAGCTAATACTTATCCTGAAGAAAAATGCCAGTGGATGGTGGCAAGGAGAGTTGCAGGTAGTTATTCAAGGAGAAATAATTGTGACTTCATGAATGCCAATGAGGTGCACTTGGGTTTAATTCGAAAAAACAACTAAGTATAAAGTATTATAAAAGCTGGCCAGAAAGTTATTTTCATCTTGGATTCACCAAGGGAGGGGAAAAAAGGTTCTTTTAAACCTTAGGTTGCTGGGGGTTTTCTGTTTGGTTTGGGGTGGGTTTTTTGGTCACAGAAAACAGTAAAACTGTCAATGAACATAACCATGGGAGGGGAGAGAGGGAAGTTGGCAGTTAATAAATTGTTTAGGATTTAATTGGTAAAACCCTGAACTGTAAAATTATTCTAATGAAAGAACAGACATTCTTGGAAGTTGGAGTTGGAAGCTCGTTTATTGCGAAGGTGGCTGTTCCCACTTTTCTCCTTTCTCCACCTAGATTTAAGAAAAGTGTCATGTAACAGTGCCCCCAACCTCGTTAGAGACTCCTGATGCATAAGTAGAATATTCGTAGAACAAATTTTCAGCCCTACAATTGAGTTGTACTCTGAAATCTGCACTTGAAAATTTTGGATAAACATGTTTGCCAGAACATATTGGGGTGCAGCTTTTTTCCAACTGGGTTGTTTTATCCTTTAGCCAGATTTTTTCCTTTTGAAATCTCTTTAGTATTTAGTAGGTGTTTGAAAGCCTGACTTGTCTTTTGTTCACAGAACTGTGTCCTATTTGTTGCATTTTTCCAGTCTATAGACTATTTGGTTTTTCAGTTGTGTAATAACCATTGTAAACATTTGCAGGCAAGAGGGAAAAAGAGACAGAAAGGATGGTTCCCTGCCAGCCATGTGAAGTTACTGGGTCCAAGCAGTGAAAGAACCACATCTGCTGCTCCCTCAGGTGAAATAAAAGACTTTGTATTTCATTTAGAGTATTTTATGTAACTATTTCAGTTGTTCAGGTATTAGTCTGAATTACATAACAAGCCTAGTGCTGTTTTTGATGGCCTGTGGTGGGTTGACCCTGGCTGGACTCCAGGTGCCCACCAAAGCTGCTCTATCCCTGCCCTCCTCAGCTGGGCAGGCAAGACAAAATACCACAAAAGGCTCGTGGGTTGAGATAAGGGCAGGGAGAGATC